ACATAACTTAAGAATCTTTTGATAAGTCATTTTTTATATTGATAAGTTATTTAATTATTTGTTAATTTTACGATATTTTTACCATCTGAAGTCTATTTGGTAACCATTTCGTTTTCAGTTTTCAATTTATATTTATAAAAATTTTAAAAACTGCCATAAAAACTTGTTTGATAATTTTTTTGGTTTATAAATGGTTGTCTTAGTTTATAAATTTAAGGAAAAAACGTAAACTCAAAAAATGAGTTTACGTTTTCAATTTTTAATTTTCTTTTTTCAATTAATTTATTTTCAATTTTTTTTCAAATAATTTTTTTTTCAATTATTCTTTTTCAAATTTTTTTTTTCAATTAATTGTTTTTCAAATAAAATTTTTTTAATTAATTTTTTTTCAATTAATCGTTTTTTTTCAAATAATTTTTTTTCAATTAATCTTTTTTTTCAATTAATTTTTTTTTCAAATATTTTTTTAATTAATTTTTTTTCAAATATTTTTTTAATTAATTTTTTGTCAATTATAATGTGTGTAATCCCATTGTCATAAATAATAAAAATAAATATAAATATTTTAGGCCTGGATAAACATATTTTTTAGTTTATATTTTTAAATTTTTTTAAACATTTTGTTCAAACAAAACGCATTTATAATTTATGTTTTTCTAAAAATAACCAAAAATCAGTTTATAAAATTTTTGTAAACATAAATAAAAAACGTAAATGTTATCAAACGCTACCTTAATGTTTGGAAAATTAAACTAACTTTGTCATTATTTAGACAGAATTAAAGCTGGTATCAAAAAAATATTGAATTCATACACTCTCTCTTTTCTTATTTTGCTTTATTTTATTTTATTTTATTTTTAATTTTTTTAATTTCTTTTTTTCTTTCCTTAGTCACTTTTTTTTTTTAATGTAATTTTTTATATTTTTCTATTAGAAGTTGTTGCTTTTTATATAAATAGGAAATTTGCGAAATGAAACTATTAACCACATAAGTAAGAATGTAATTTCTATAATGTCAAGGGATAATATATAATTGGACCAAATCTCAAAAGATCTCAGTGTAATTTACCAATTTCTTAATGAATAAATCTCACAAATCAATTAATTATCGTAATACCTTAACTCTATTAAAAATAATTTTTTTTTGTGCATAACACTCAAGTGATGTGTCAAACGTCAGTTTGGTTGAGTTTCCGAATCACTTTTATAAAATCCAAAATTCAAAATCTATTTGATTTTGAATTTTCACAGCATATATTTCAAAATCCTTTTCAAACCAAGTTTTAAAACCCAAACTTGTGTGATTGAAGTTTTCATAAACAAGTTTTCAAAACCCAATTGACCAAGCCCACAACAGAGTGAAACAAAATTGCATATATTAAATTAGATGTATCTAAAAAACACATTTAGATTATGTATATGAAAGAAGTAATTAAATTTAACTACAATATTACCAAAAAATTTTGACTACAAGACAAAAAAACACTAGACTCAAAAAAATTCAAAAACTAGCTTTGAAAACACATAACCAAACAAGTTTTGAATTCAATTTTTTAAAAACTATTTTCAAAAATTCATAATCAAACAAGTTTTCAATTTTCAAAACTCTTTTAAAAAATTCAAAATCCAAAACTGATTTCAAAACTAAACCAAAGGCTGTATTTTTTTTATTTCAAAACTTTAAAATATCATAACATTTATTCTGTACATTTATGTTTCATAAAATTTATATTTTGAAACTTTATTCCAAGAAAATCTATCAAATAAGAACACCAAAACAATATGAAATTGTTTAAAAAGTGAAATTTCCCAATACAGAAACCATGAAATTTTGCAATTTTTGAAAATCTTAAGAATTTCTCAATAAGATCACTCATTTTACTGAGCATGTAGGAAAAGGACCAAAATCTATGCAGAAAATTTTAAAAATAATGGAATGTAACACTATAAGATCAACACATGGGACTTACCCCAATTATCTCATTAGGACACTCAAGTTTCATTAGGACACTCAAGTTTCGTTTGGAAAGTGGATTGGTTTTTTTACTTTTTAATTTTTTGATTTTTTTGTGAGAAAAAAGTGTAATGATTATAAATTGAATGTGATGTTTTATTTTTGTGGTTAAAATAACCTATTATATATTTTATGATTAAAATAACCAAAAAAAAAACTCTAAATCCATCTTCTCAAACGGAGCTTGAGGCTCCAAAACAGAGCCTGAGCTTGAGCCTGAGGCTCCAAATCCATCTATCAAAAAAGCTCCAAAATGCAGACCAATGGATCCCAACTACTAAACTTGATACAGTACATCCAGACTGAAATTTTGTACCTTCAAATGCAGAACATCGGCTAGATTTTGATAGATTCTACACAAGTGCAGCCATATTTTTGGTGCACAGTTCTAAAAAACAGTAAGGTTATTTATCAAATATTTCTAGACATATGTCATATTACTTTTAAAATTTTTTAGACATATTAAATACTTGGTCACTAAAATACATATGAAACACTTTTTAATTTTGAATAAAATAATTTGAAGGATAAAATTATCAAAGAAAAATAATAATGTAAAAGTCAGATATTTACAAATAAAATGATTTTTTTGGGGGGTTACTTTTTAAAACCTTTCTTCTTTCTTAACAAAACTTCTTACATTAGAAACATGAACGAAATGAGGAGCGTGTGTGAATGTACAACTAAGTATTCTATCAACAATTTTTTTAATTTTTTTTTTTTGATTCAAGAAATGATTATGCAAATAGGTTACTCTAACATATTTGCTAGGGAGTATTGCTCCTTAGCACTTACAACATATCTGCAGGGAACCTCACCGCACCTACGTCGGGGCCGAAGCTTAAGAGTATGTTTAACCCTAACAAGGAACTATGGAGACTCGAATCCAAGTCTTGAGCGAGGGATTCGAAGGTCTTATCCATTGAACCAACCTCCTATTGGTAACAATTTTTTTATTTAAAAAAAATAAAAAAAACATTTCATGTATAACTTTTTTAAGTGTTCATCTTTGTCTCATATTATTTTCAAAGTGAGACAAGTCTTAAAAGCCTAAAAAAACCTTTCTTAAGAAATATTAAAGGCTTTGAAAATTACCCAAAAAATAAATTCATTTTATTTTGTAAATCACCATCAGTAGAATTATACATATTGATTTCTCATCATTTAGAAATAAGTATTATTTTCATTTTTTAATTATATTTGAATAAAAATTCATACATATAATAGAGTGTTAATTACACTAAGACATTCTCAATTATTATCAAAGATTATCTTATCCCCTCATATATGTAGGAATATAAGAAATATCGAAAAAATAGACCAAATCGGTTGAACCGAACTGGCTATATTTGGTTGATTTTTTAATATGAATCGGTCTGTATAGTTTTTAAAATTAATTTTTTTCGATTTTCCATTCGGTACTAGTTTAGGTACATTGTGTACCGAATTAAACCGAAACTGACCGAAATTTTCCCATATTAAACATAATATATATTAAATATATAATGAAGTTTGGTTGAGTACAAAGTTCAATTGATTCACCTAATTGTTTATTTTTTTCTTAAATATTCTAAGTTTGACAATATATATTGGCAATGTGATAAGTTGTTAGTTTGTCACGCATATGTTCTTGAATCAAGTTTTGCTATTACTATACTTATATAGCTATAGCAAATGTTTATATCGTTTTCAATTTTTTTGTTTCAACTCTACTTGATAGACTTATGATTTTATCCTCATGAGATGATGGTTTTAAGCTTTGGTTTTGCTTTGATACGAAGACTCTGATTTTCAGATTATATTTTGTTTCTAATTCTACTTTAAAATTTTTATATAAATTATTTACTACACTACAAAATTAAGAAGTAACTCAAATTTGAAAGGCCTTAAACCGATTAAACCACACTGAGCCGAACCGTTTGAATTGATGCAGTTTGGTGCGGTTTAGTGAAAAATTTGGTCTGTATTGGTTGTCAATATAATAGAACTAACATTACTGGTTCGGTGTAAAATTTCACCTAAGCACTAATCATCTCGAACCAATTACATTTATACATATACGAATTTGTACATTTTGACTTTTTTAACTACAAAAATGTACAAATAAAAAAAAAAAAAACCTATAAAAACGTAGAAAAATGTTTGAGACACTAAAAATAGTTTCCATAATTTGATCCACAGTGATATGGTATGATAGATATCAAATTTTAATTCGTTATACACCTAATTATATAGGACCCAACTCCCTTATCATATCATTGAGAGTGTAAAATTATTGGCCTCTAGCATTTCTCAAAAATGTGTCTCTCTCTCTCTCTTTAGACCACTTCTAGATGGGTAAATTTGTGTAGTTTTACAATTGAGAGAATCAATATGTTATAGTGTAATTAATCCTGGTTGAGAGGGTCGATATGAAAATCGGAACCACAAAATTCATAACCGATTTCTACTTCATGTCCTTGGAAATGTTTGCATGTTGGCTTCAAAAACCACACGCTAGTAGCTTTGGCAGTTGAAATTATATTCAACTTAAACTCATTGATTAACAATAAAAAGATAACACTAATAAAAATAATAACAAGGTTCAAGGTACACATTCCAACCTATTTAAAAACTTCCCAATCTTTGTTAAAAAAAAAAAAAATTCAAAATCAAAATCAACCCAATTTAGATCTCTGAACGAGAATATGTACCCCATGCCCAGGCTCCACAATCATTCTATAAGTAGGAGAGTGAATATATTTGGGAGATAAAGAGAATGTGAACTTTGAGATGATGAGAGTCAAGACCACCTTAAGCTGAACCAGGGCGAAATTGCGGCCCAAGCAGAGGCGAGGGCCTAAACCGAATGGCACATAAGCGTGGGGGATTTTGCAAGCGCTCGACACGCCATTGGCGAATCTTTCTGGTTTGAATTCATTGGCGTCTTGTCCCCAGATGTCAGGATCACGGTGAAGCGTTGGGATCAGAGTCCATGTGCATACTCCTTTGGGGACAGTAATATGTCCGATTTGTGTCTTTTCAAGTGCTTCTCTTGATACAAACGCTGCTGGTGGGTACAAACGCAGCGCTTCTTGAATGACCATAGTCACCTGCATTGTATTCAACGGTAAATTTATGTTTTATATCAATAAGAGCGGTAGTTACAGAATAGATGAAGCCGATCCAACTAATCTTGGTCGGCTAGGTGAAAATAAATCTGGCTCCATCAATCCTGGTTTGGAGAACCACCTATGCATATATCATGTTGGTGCTCCAAAATTACTCTATAGTTTTTATAAATAAATAGAGCTATGGTATTTAGATGTGTTCAAGTTCACAGAATAAACCTCTTCAACTTCTCTCTACCTTACTATAAAAACAAGAAATTTGGATTCTCTCAAGTGAACTGGATAATGTAGTCAACTGAATAAAAACCTTATTAAAACATTATAACACCTTAAAGAAAAAGTGAGCGGAGAAAAAATAAAAAATTAAGGATGTATTTAAAAATACTCCTTAAATAACGGAAGTACACCTTTAAAGCTGGAGGATCAACTTAGCAAGTACATAATAGGTGCAATGGCCATTAATGGAGTTGGATAGGATAGGAACCACTTGATCGATTAAATTGGAGAGAAAATTGGTCCCATCCCTCTTCATCTGGTCTGTCCTATTGGTCAGAGACACCATATATAGGATGGTGTTACCATTATATTGGTGGTGTTTAGCATAATCTATATAACTGCATTTATTTATGTTCTTGTTTGAATTATATCACTTCTTTATTTTTCTATACATCTTTTTATAAAAAGTCAAAATGTATATTTATTTAGATCATTCCAAATATTTCCTAAGTATTGATATAATACTTTTGAACCAATAAGAACAACAGGCAATGAATAGATGAAATCAAGAGTACTACATATTTATGCCACCGAGATACTTCAAAAGTAGTAAAATAATTTTACCTAAATAAATGTAGGTTATGGGCATTATGGATGTGTTATTACCATCTTAATTTTGGAGAGTGACTCTGCATCCAGCACCCCGCCTTGGCAAACCTGAGCGGTCTCCTCCCGAACATGGGCTTGCCAGTCGGGGTGCAGCGCTAGCAGCATCAAGCACCACGACAAGGCCACAGCAGTGGACTCGTGCCCTGCGAAATATATGTTCTTGCAGTTGTCGACAATGAAGGACTTTGACGATGAATCGCTGCCCACAAAATGGTCATTGATGGCACCTTCTAATATCAGCTGCATTAGGTCCTTCACAGTTGGTGTCGGTGATGAATCTTGTTCTCTTTCTTTTATTGCCTCCCAAATTAAGGACTCTATTTCTCTCTCCAAACACCTTATCTGCTTTGGTTGCCCCGTGGGTGAAAATCTGCTACTGTGAAATTGTATTAGTCTACTGGAAAGAAAGTGCAAGATTTACATGCTCATTAATTTGGTCATTGTATAATTTGTAACAAACTAGTATGTCAATACTACTAATAATAAATCAAATGAAAAGTGGGTAGGTATGCAAGACCCGATTCGATTAAAACCTTTGCAAAGATTCAACATTGATTTATAAAAGGTTGAGGGATCTTTTTGTTCCAAAATTCTTATTTTCAATGCAATTTCAACCATACAATATGGTCAGAATATTGAAATACGAGTCTTAAAACACAACTATATAGTTGGAAGTATATTGGAATAGGGGGATAAAAATTTTAAGACAGAAGACTCTTTGTCTATGTTGAAAGAGAAGCTAGAGCAACTCTAATGATCATTTTAAAATGGCAATGCCAAAGTTATTTTTGACTAACTACAGTGTCGGTTTTTTTTTTTTTTTGGGGGTACGAAGTGGTCTCAATGGTGCAGGGGAGAAAGTGAAAAAATAAAATAAAATTAGATAGAGCATTTTATGGGGCACATCATGAAAAAAATTTGACTTGAGTTAAATTTTATGTCATATTTAATATAATCATAATCTGATGAATTTGGCTACCCATTGGAGTAAAATTTTTGAGAAATCTAACCAAATTATACAGTATGAATTTGACAAGATGCTCTTACTAGTTTGAGTTAAAATATCATTGAAGATTGAACCTTAATGTGGGGTCAAGATTCTGTATCATTCATGAGGGTTGGTGGTAGATGTTGCTGTTAGGTATATACCATTATATCAATGGCCAAGGAAAAGACTGAAATAATTGAGACAATGTGACAAACTATAGCGTCATGTTCATATACGAGATTATTATCATCATGGAAAGCAATGTGTGGTGTGCCACAAATAAGTGATCTATCGACCATTATATTTCCTTTATTTCGTTTATTATTTTATGTGTCAACATTGTATTGTACATATAAATATAGTTGTTATATCAATATATCATCAATACATGAGATGGTAACAAGATATGGTAAGAAAATAAAATCATGGGTTAAATATGAAAAATGTTTCAAAATGTGTCTTGTATTATTTTGATCCTTGATATTTTTAATGTGTAAATTTAGTTCCTAGCCTATTGATTTTGTCACTTCCATTTTGTTTACAATTAATAATGAAAATAAGAGCGTTTCCACCTATGACACTGAATAAATTGAGAATTAAATTGACTTGACTAAAATATCAAATACTAAAATGGAATAACAAGTCACATACTTTGGGGAATATTTTCTTCTTGTTTTGCTAAAATATGGTTTGATAAAGATGCACTTACTTCTGTTATCAATTGTAAACAATTTGAAGTAGAGACCAGTTAGCGACAAAATTAATTGATAACAAATTTGACACATTTTAAACATCAATAATCAAAACGATACAAAACGATACAAAACACATATTTTAAGACTAATTGTGTACTTAACCCTATAACTCACTCTATAACATTATTATATAAGTGATCACTGAAAAGTGTAGGACAACATACCCGAAGGTGGGGATGCCAAAAAGCAAGCCTTGAATGGAAATGGCTTTTTGGAGAGTCCTAAGCTTGGAGAAAATCTCTTTGCCTTTGAAATAAGAGCTTCCAAAACAAGCCCTTGCGATCACATCTCCTGAGAGACTCCTCAAGTCCTCATCCACTTTTATCTCAGCCATCAATCCACCTTGGGCATCAATGCAATCCTCCCATTTTGTTAGTAATGGTTGTGCAGACTCTAGCATTAGTCCCACCATGCCCTGCCACAATTACTCAATTGTCACATTCATGTATCTTTCTTTCTTCTTCTCCTTCTCCCCCCCCTGTCCCTTTTTCCACCACCCCCCCCCCCTCTTTTTCTTTTTTTTCCACAAAGAATATGACAATAATTTATTTGATATCAAGTTGACTTATTTTTCTATAATATGTAGAAAGAAGAAAAAGTTGCATTGCATTGCATTAGTGGTAACACGCCTAGTAAGAGAACATCCCATCGATTATGTTGCTAGGCCTATCAATGTATCGGATCTGACCTTGATTTGATGCAATTTGAATCTAATCCAATTTGAAAACAATCCGAATCCCTTGATTTTATACTCCTTGTTTCCCACAAATGTAAGATTTAAGTGCATGGAAAGGTTTTACAAATGTTATGTTATGAGATAGAATCAAAGATGACTCAACCATTACGTCACTTGGACCGTCGCCCAAGGCTTACCAAGAAAATTTTTAATTTAGAAAAATCTCATTTTGATTCTTGAAGTTAAGAAAATGTCTCATTTTGATATATAATTTAAAATCTCAAAAAATATTGGAGTGCTATTGGATCGGGTCAATATTTGGACTGGATCAAATTTATCCAAATTTGGCCGACTAATAATTGGGACTATCAAATTATCAAATTGGATATTTGCTAACTATTGACTGACTAACACCGGCTCAACTCTTTGATCTTAATTCCTCAATGTGAACATATCAATTTTACCACATACAATAGCACAATATCAATATGATATATGAATATTGAGATTTGAGACACACATTTGACAAAATCCCAATCAAAACATGATAAATCGGTGTAAAAAATTATGGGTGTTTTTAATGTATTTGGAGTTTACCTTAACCTTGTCCATGAAAAATTCAGGTGCAACAATCTTCCTATGTTGAGCCCAAATCAAGCCATTGGACCTCAAAATGCCATTGCCAAGCATAGGTGCGAGTCTCTTGGTCACATATGAAGGCTTACCAAGATCCAAGGTAATAGATTGGTTCATTTCCTTAACTAGGTCTGCACGGTTTACGTACAAATGTTGTTTGTTTCCTGTAGAATATGTGTATATTGGACCTGCATATATATATATATATATATATCATTAATGCTCGAAAACTCAATTCTCATTCACAACAAACTAACTTTATTACTGTTCAATTTTAAACTCGTAATTATACAATATTCTCATAATACTAATTCAACAAGTTGGGCCTCGTTCAATAGCTATATGTTTAGCTAAAAAATCACTATAAGTTGTCATATCATCACTCTCTCTATTTTTTTACGTATCTTTTCGTAAAAAGTTAAAAAATTATTAAAATAGTGTGTTCCCAAATGAGACCTTAGTATGGAGGGGAAAACGTTTTTAGAATGGAAAATTTCATAGAATTTGAATTTACAGAAAGATAATGAAAATCTACAATGTATAAAAATAAATGGATGGGATTCTCTCAAATTTAAAATCTAAACTTTACTGTTATGTTAGGACTCATGAGGCCTATCACGGGTTTTGTTTGATGATTCAAGCAGTTTATTTTGTATCATTCTTAAAAAAAATTAAATCGATTTAATAATCATAACATTTTTATTTTATCGCATTTGTTTCCAAAAAACTAGAGGGTCTATTTAAAAAAACAACTCCGATTGGTAGCTCGAAAGTCTGATGGCTCGAATGACTGGACACCAACCTTTTTTTTTTTTTTTTTTTTCGCGTTTTTCTGAACTGAAGAAGAAGAAGAAAGCTGAAGAAGAAGAAGAGAAGAAGAAGGAACTGAGTTTCGGCATCAACACAAGGAGATGAGCCAACAAATGCAGAGAAAACAGAGAAAAAAAATGCAGTTCGGGCCATCACCTTCATCATCTTCAACATCTTCAACATCATCATCATCTTCATCATCTTCAACATCATCTTCATCTTCAACATCTTCAACATCATCATCATCTTCATCAACAACAACAAAAAAAATTCCTCTGCAGATTCGGATCAACATTATCATCATCAATAAATTTTTTTTTTTTTTTCAGATCCATATCTGCGATCGCCGCCACCATCACCATCGATCGCCGCCACCATCACCGACCATCACCGTCGATCGCCTCTTCTCTTCTCTCCTCTCTTTTCTCTCTCTCTGTCTCTCTCTCTCGTTCCTCTTCTCTTCCCTCTCTGTCTGTTCGAAAGAATGAAAAGGAAAGAATGAAAATGAAAGAAAGAAAAAAGAAAAGAAAAAGAAAAAAAAAACACTGCCCAAAACGACGTCGTTTTGGGCAGTTCGGGCCATTCGAGCCGCATGAAATTCGAGCTACGAGTTATTTTTCTTAAAAAAATACTTGTCATTTATTTTTTCAGAAACAAAAGCGATAAGATGAAAATGTTACAATTATCAGATATACTTAATTTTTTTGATGAATGATATATAAGGAAAGTTCTACAAAATAAATAATTCAGATTATCAAAATAGAACTCGTGATAGGTCCCATAGGCTCCAACGTGATGGTGAAATTCAAATTTTGAATTTAAAAGAATCCAAATCCAAATAAAATTATGCACATCCTCATTATGTGCACCAAGGATCCTCTAGAGTATTTTTTTCCTAAAGTTTTCTAAAGTGGTGTGTATCATATGCAAGTCCAGTGCCTACTGCAGTTGTTTCCAACAGGTAAAAAAGATACTTATCAAAATTCAGTTAAATTGATGCAAGAAAGTGTGTTCTTTTACTCATATACTTTATGTGTTACTGGTATAAATAATTGCTTTGTTTGTTTTCATTTTCAGAATTTATTTTTTAGAAAATTTTATTTTTTTATTTTTCGTACTTTTTTTTTGTTTTTACTGAATTTTAAAAATATTTTAAACAATTTTTTTAATTTTTAAACACACCTAACATAAATACACTTAGAAAATATAATATTTGTGAAAAAAATCTTTAAAAAATTCACTAAATACTAAAAATAAATATATATATATATATATATAAATTTAGTAAATTTTTCATATTGTTGTGTATTTATTAATTTTTTTAAAAAAATTTCACAAATAATTTGTTATTTAGATACATTTAAGTAAGGTACATCTAAAAAAGTAAAAAAAATTCTTGAAATTTTAAAAATATTTACTAAAAATATAAAAAATAAAAAATTTAATTTTCAAAAAATTAAAACCAAATACACTAAATAGTTTTTTATTTTTTTTATTGGGTAAAAATAACAAATTAAAAACTTTATAAATGGACATTTGAAGCACAATTATATAGGACATCAGGATGTACAATTATAGATAGGACATGAGGATGTACAATCAATTATAACGTGGCAAAAAACCATCCATCTAAAAATTTGTTTTTTTTGAATGACAATAATAATTAGCTCAAGAGATCTTTTTTGGAAGAAGGAAATCAATTTGTGTGTACATATATACTAGCGCACACTAATAATAAAAGGAAATAATATAAAATTTAATATCATAATATATATATTACTTAAGTAATAAGTATTCATTATTAATGAAATTTAAGGTCTTGAATTCAAAACTTAAAAACTTACTTATGCTGTGTAAAATAATTTTTTTATTTTTTTTATTTTAGAATATATAAAGTTGTCACATGGCAGGAGAAGAAGAAGGTTTTACTAAACCAATTTTGACATTCACTTGATAATAGTATAAAGATATAGATTAACTAATAATAATAAAATTTAATGTCATAATATATATGTTACTTAAGTGGTAAATATGTTTTTAATAAAACTCAAGGTCTTAGGTTCAAAACTCAAAACTATCTTATACTGTGTATAATAATTTTTTTATTTTAACATATGTAAAATTGTCATATGACATGAAAAGAAAAATGTTTCACTAAACTAATTTAGACCTTCACTTAATAATAGTATATAAGGGTTAAAGTCCTACTGGTCCCCTTGCTCGTTCGTCTAATCTATTTATTTTAATTTTTCTTTTGCATGATTTTATTAATTGACAACATCACATATATGTTATCATAATATTTTGAGACTATTGAATAGATGAGTTACAACTCACATTAGAAAAAGATTAAAGTGATGCATACATAAACTAAAAAGTAAAACTATAATCAGGATGCCTAGCAAATTATATCAAGAAGGAAACAAGTGTGCTGATATAACGAAGGACTAATTATCTTATCTACTTACCCTAGTTATATTTCTGTATATATTTCAAAAGATGATAAAAGTACTGTCTATCTCATAAGTGTAACGACTTAATCCTTTTATTTACGATATGCTTCATTTAACTCCCCAAATTATTATTACTATTATTATATAGATAGATAGATATGAGCAAGTGATTGGGTGTTCATCTCCATATGAACCTAGTGGGGAGTTTGTTTTATTATGATACTCTTTGTACTCATTATTTTGTTTATTGATATAATATCTTTGTTTCATCAATAAAGATTTCTTTCTTTTGCTGATAAAAAAAAATGAGTGAGATTGTAGATCTAGAATTATTGATTCAGAATTTATTTAGAAATAAGAAATAATTGTTCAAATTTAATTTACTAATGGGCTACACATTTCATTGATTTAATCTCTATCACACAAATTAATTTTGGGTAAATTATGAGTTCCTCTGTTTGATTCGATTAAAAAAAAAAAAAAATTTGATTCCTAACTTTTTAGTATATATATATACACAACAAACACTCAAACTGTGGATGGAGTTGCACATTATGATAATTGTATTTTATATGAAAGAGTGGCACATACCTATTTTGAAAAGTAGGTTAAAAATTAATATTTTAATATTTTTTGATTTTTTTTAAATATATAAAAAAATAGAGAGATAATATGACTCAAAAAAATTAAAAGACAAAATTAATTTTCAATCGTATTGCCAAAATAGACCAAAGAAGTAAATGGATGAACATATTTTTGTCCCAAAAACTGAAGGAAAGACAAAAGAACCCACACCCCCCGCGCCCTAATTGTTTTTTTTTTTTTAAGGTTAAAAAAAAAAAAAAAAAAACCTTTGAAAAGGACCTTCACATGCCACTTCACTTTTTTTTTAATAAATAAATAAATAATAGTGATTGTCCAAATCATTTTGAGAGACTCCTCTATAAAGTTGTCTGTTGTGACTGGAGAGTGAGATCAATAATAGGAGCAATTGAAACCCACAAAACTACACACACACTCTCTCTCTCTGCTAGATACAGGCCTTGTTTGGTTTGTGTTTCGGAAAAAATTTTCTACAATTAAGTTTTTAAAAGTAATTAAATCAAACAAATTTTTCCAAAATTTTTTTTTCAAAACTTGTTTGGTTTACAATTTTTCCAAACAAATCTCTCTCTCATACACATCAAATCAATCACTTTTTCCAAAACTCTCTCTCAAAATAATTTTTCAAAACATCTTTTGAAAAAAAATCAAACCAAACAAATTTTCGTACTTTTTATCTCAAAACATGTTTCTCAAAACTCTCTCTCTATAGTTGACTTTGACATGATATTGTCTCCACAACTAACTCCCTCCCACACTGTCTTGCCGTAAATGTTTTGTTTCAATAAGAATGCTGAGTCTGAAGAATAATGTAGAGAAAATTTATTTTTTAATTTAGATATGCATTCAAAATAAATTTGAACAAAGTAATAATTTTTCTTTCTTTGTTTCTATATATATATTTTTCGTAACATTATTGTTATCAATCCGGTCTCAAAATTAGGTGAATATTTAACTATGCCAACTAATGTTGCCTTAACTGAAAGTCCAATCCGAGCCAAGGTAATATTTTTTGTAAATTCATAATTCAAATTTTATTCACTTACTTACAGACCCAATATTATATCTAAGAAAAATTTAACCCAATATTTAATTTGTGAATGTTTAGACAATATTAAGGTAGTGTTTGGAAACGTTTATATTTTTTTTATTTTTGTTTATAAAAATAATTTAAACTACTTTTTGTTTATTTTAAAATAAAAAAACAAAAACTGTAAACAAGTTTGGTTTGAAAAAAAAAAAAAAAAAAACTTATTTTCTTTTTCACATTTGCTGTACAATGAAGCTCCTAGGGTTAGAGCTCTTGACCTTGCGCCAATTCCTTCCTTCTACATTTCTTTCGCATTTCCTTCCACTTCCCTTTATAAACCAATGGAAATACCTTTTTTGAGTTTATGACTTTTGCCTTGATTTTTAATTTGAGGGAGCTTATTTATAAATTCAAAAAGTTATCAAACAAGTTCATATAATAGTCTTTAAATTGTTTGTAAATATAAACAAAAAAGAAAAACGTTACCAAACAGGTCATAAAAAAAAAGGGGTCAAAATAACACAAATTTATTGCTTAATTAGAAGAGTAGCTTTACAGTTAGTGGATTAAGCTAACTGAACACAATAAACAATTGTTTAACCAAATTAATGATCAAAATTTGATTTTTTTAAATAGCATTGGTTGGTGGTCCGAAATTCAGTGGCTCGAATGGCTCGAAACTGTCAAAACGACGTTGTTTTAGGCGCAAAAAAATCAAAAATAACGTCGTTTTGACAGTTTCGAGCCATTTAAACTACTGATTTTGTGACCCTCAAACAATTTTTTTTTTAAACTATATTTGCAGTTTTTATAAAAATATATCTCTTTAATATATGTAAAATTATTTTTAAAATTTTCGTACTACAATTGAACATTGACTTGAAATGACTTGGCAGGGTTGATCTGAATTAAGACACAAAGGTTCATTCAATGCTGCTGTACATGCACCAGGTTTAGCCCACTCCATTTTGGACATTTGGACACCAAAAAAAACTTGGTCCCATTACATTGCCGAAATATATCTAATAAATGGGTACACATATATACATATAAATATCATTTGGCAATAAAATGAATTAATTGATAGTTTAGCCTCCATAAATTAATCTACTAAATCAATTCAACTTGAATCTAGATCATAAATGTGTAAAAATTTATTTAGTACTCCTCAGACACTGCTTCAACTATATGGTTTTGGAGTGATTATTTAGTGCTCTTAGAATATTGTTTCACTCAAGCCACACCTTCATATGGTTTCAGAATATAGAAGTATATACTTGTTGATTTTTTGCACTTATTCATTTAACTTGTTTGCACTTTACTTTCTTAAACTTCAAAACTTAACAGTTAATCATTTCAAATTATTATTTTGTTATATTTAATACCTTATGTTAGAATGTTGTTAAAAATTTAAATGAAATCAGGTCAGGTCACGTATAAAACACATGACACACTTGTTAATTTTTAAAATAACAATACATTTATCTAGTGATCTCATTTGCGTTTTGCCTATTTTATTTTAGTGGCAAAGTACAAATGAAATCACTAGATAAGGGTATTATTATTCTAAAAAATCAATAAGCACATAACCTGATTTTGTGTAAATTCTTAATTAAATCCTAACATAAGAGGTTAAGTGTAACGAGATAATATTTTAAGTCTTGAAGTTCAAAGAACAAATTATAAATAAAGTATAATTTAAGAAAATTTACTGTAATTTACCATTCCAAAGAGAAATTCTGTTTTTTGTTTTCTACTTCAAGATTCATCCTCATCCTTTTGTCTGCTTTCTTCCTTTCGAAAAGTTCAAAGAACAAATTATAAATAAAGTATAATTTAAGAAAATTTACTGTAATTTACCATTCCAAAGAGAAATTCTGTTTTTTGTTTTCTACTTCAAGATTCATCCTCATCCTTTTGTCTGCTTTCTTCCTTTCGAAAAGTTCAAAGAACAAATTATAAATAAAGTATAATTTAAGAAAATTTACTGTAATTTACCATTCCAAAGAGAAATTCTTTTTTGTTTTCTACTTCAAGATTTATCCTCCTCCTTTTGTCTGCTTTCTTCCTCTCGAAATCACAAGTTGGATGTATTCAAAATTGGCATGCACATATAATTACAGTGGATGGCATATGGAAAATAATGAACATTCCAATGTTTAATTTCCTCTAATTTTGTTTCTTTATTTGCTCTATTTTATTTATATTCATGCACTTAATTATATTATTATTTATTTAGTTAACTGAATTGTCTAATATATATATATATATATTATGACACTTTTGCTTTGTGTACAGTGAAAAAATAGCATATTCTAACTAGACCAGCCTCTTTGGTTGTATTTTCCTACTTGGTTTTTCATTTTCATGCTTTCGAAAAAAAAAAAAAAAAAAAATTCCAAGCAAGCACAACTTTTTTATTTTTGTGCAAAAACAATTTAAAAATATTTTTTGGTGTTTTTTTAAAAAGTGTAGGTTCAATCTGTTTAGTTTAATTTTCATAATCAACTTTTTGATATATTTTCAAAAAAGCTAAAAAACCAATTTGGTCTAAAATAAAAATTAAAATACACTTAAAAATTTCACATGATTTTAACTTTTTTTTAGGGTCAGAAAAAGATAAATTTTGAATGTGATTTTGAAGGTGAACTAGCTGACATATATATGTGGGTTTGGAAAAACTAAACCAAATATCACATAATGTTTTCTTTTCACTTTCTGAATAGATAAACTATCTAGAAAGTGAAATAATAAAGCATATGGGATCGAAACTCTGGGCCCACAACTTCTTTCATAATTGTATGTCCAGAAAGAAACTTGACTTGAACAAACTAGAAAGTAAAGAATGTTTCGTAATTAGAGAGAAGCTTGACTCTGAAAAAAAAAAATTAAGAGAGATAAAATAAAAAAAAATGCCAAGTTACCGTATTCTTTTCTCCATTGTTCGAAAAAGGGGAAGAGGGTGGAAGTGTAGTCGTGGGCGATGAATTCGCCGTGGTTTGAAGCCTTCACTGCCATTGATGTCTGAATTTTCTGCATCTGAGGGACATTCCCATAGAGAAGAGAAGGTTGAGGCCCTTTGATTCCTTGCTTTCGGAGCTTCCATCGGAGCCTTTGAGGTTTTAACCATATAATGTTAAAGAGGTACAAGAAAAGGCAAACCAGAAGAGCTGCAAAAGCCATTAAAGAGAAGCTTTGCACAACAAAGAAAATAGCAAGAAGAAGAAGCATAGGGGACTTCATTATTTTTTTCTCTCTTAATTTGGTTCTACTTGTGTTAGGCTCATATGTTACTTGTTGGAAGTATAGTTTATATAAACATGGGAGCACCACTTGTACTATTTTATTGAAAATTTACCATACACACTTCTAAAAATGTGCATACTATATGCTTTTCTTATTATTTTTACTTTGAATCTAAAAAAATAAAATAAAGTAATTTATAAATATAATTTGTATATATAAAGTACATTTAGAATGTTGTAGTAGTGATATATTTGTAATTATGAACAATACTAATGAACGTTTTGACTACGGTTGAAAATATCATACAAGGTATATAATTTTAGAAATTTTGTTTATTACCTATAAAAAAATAAAATAAAATTGAACCACCAATAATAGTTACATTAAGTCATGACTAATACGAACCAACTCTACTTTAGAAGATGACGGAATATCTAAATGTGATGTAACTAACTTTGATTTTTGTTAATTTGCTAGCCTCACTCTCACAATATATCACTCAACCACATACCACAAAAGTTAGTAACCAACATCAATTTGGATTAAAGCATGTATATCATATACATATATATCTTGTATTTTTTAACATGACCCTACTTTGCAGAGAAACAATAAAGCTACAGACCCAAAAAAGTAAATGGAAAAATAACTAAGAATTTATAAGTGTACTTGAGATTCAATGACTGGTTTGTGAGGTCTAAGCACATAATAAATCTAAACTATACATTAATGTTTTGAAATAAAATTTTAGATAAAATTTATATATAATAGGATTGAAGAAAAATAATATTTGCATTTTCATACGAGTGATAAGATGACAAAGAAAGAAGTCGGCAGAGATTTAAGAGCAGCACTCAAGGAAAAAACATAAGAATAATAATTCCAATAATTGTCAAAAACAAATTATGTATAGCAAGATCTTTCAAAATCTTCACTCAACCATATCTCAAAATTCATGACAAATTATAGGGTTGTCAAAATTTGACAACTTTTTTTTTTTATATTATTATTTTGATATTTTGCAGAAAAAAACAATATTTTCACAGTGTAACAAAATTGTTAAATTGTAATATTTTAACACTGTAATATATTAAAAAAACAAAATTTGACTTTAACATTGATATTGTAGCATCATTCACTGGAGATGCTGTATATTTGTCTTTATATAAATCCATAATATATCATATAATATGTCTATATTATACTATATGTGTCCTATTAATTCATGAGATATTATTTTTTAGCAAGTAGATAGAAGGCAACAATGAGAAAAGTGGCATATGCTGACGCAGCCTAAATGCTTATATATATATATATATATATCATTATGAAGGGAAATTATATAAAATGGGGTGTGTACCATATCTATGCCTAATTATAAGGTTTTTGATTTTTTATTATTAATTATGATTAATTGTAGTGTTAGTTATACGTTGACTATGATTTATTGTGATTACTATTTTCTTTGTGATTCACAAGATATTTGGTTGTAGCTGATATGCTATTTAGTTATGTTTAATTATATATCTTTTATTTATGACTAAAAGTAATTTAATTATAACATCTATAATAATAGACACCACAAATATCATAATTTATATATGATATGCACCCTTTTGAAGATGTGCATGTTGGAAACTATTTATTACATAAGGGAATTGTGTGTATTTAAAATAATAAAATAACGACTCGAATAAAAGAAAAGTTTAAAAATTATTTTCTCAAAATTATTTTTGGAAAAACACAAGTAACAAAGAAATTCTTGTTTATGTATAAAACAAGAACAAGATCACAAATTGTAAATTAAATTAAATAAATTAACGGAACTTACATAATGTAGATCAAACAAAGTGCAAAAATAAAGAAAAGCCGAGACGTGTGTTGGACACACTTTTCTTAAGATTGTAACATCCTCGCCATGGTGCTCGAGAACAAATGAGACCAACCTCCTAGGATGCAATGACTATACCACAGAATTGCAGCACTACAAATCTGAGTCTGGCAAATAGACTATGCTGAACTCTCTCTCTCTCACACAGAAAATAGAGTAGGAAAATATGCAGAAGTATGCATGAAATGAGAGCAAATAAACGAATGAAAGAATTGCTGGATAGGGTTTGAATTTATAGGTTCCGTGGTGACTGTTTGAATGGGTTTGGAGACTGTCTGAGAAGTGCGAATCTACAAAACCGCCAAAATGAAGAGAGGTGACCGGAGAAGAGAAGGCACTGTTTCAGATTTTAATTCCCGCAAAAGATTTTGAAAAAATTCAAATGAATTTTGTCCAAAAAATTAAAATTAGAACTCGACCCACAGCCTATACCACGCGCTCGGCCGGATGGCGGCGGCGGCGTGCGCCTGTGGTGTTGGGTTCAATCCATGCTTGATCCATAACTCTCCCATTCACAAAACTTGGGTGCCCTTTGGGGCCCATCCCAAGTGTGCTAACCTAGAGTTTATATACTCATATAAATTCTCTCTTTATTTCAATGTAGGACAAGCCATTAATGAGCAAACCCACTTTGTCTCTTCAACTTAAATGACGTTAACTTCCCATTCACATGGAAATATTTTTGATGAACCATCTTTGAGGCATGATTCACCACATAGAAAAGAACATGTCATCACTCGGCCCCACTTCAAAAGGCATATGAGTCCCACTTCAATTTGGGCTTAAAATTGCCCAACAATAAGCCAAAAAAACTCAAATTTCCAATAATCCCCCACATAAATGAAGTTAATGGAAACGGACATGCAACAATATGCAAAAAATGCTAGAGAGTACCCTGCGTCGGGATAAGTAGTTTTTGGCTTTAAACCTTTCCTAGTAATAATCTATCGGACTTACTAGATGTCCAGTGGACGTGATGTCTTGAACTATTCAGCCGTTGGTGTAAGCCAAGACAATCGATTACACACAAAGTACTACCAGACATAGTCTTGTTCTACGGTTGTGTTCATTTTGACCTTGAACAATATTTGGTTCAGTGAGTGCTCTAGAGAATTCAACTTGTTAATTCTCATAGAACCGACCTAGTTCACACTCACATAGGTGATTCCCATTAAGAGTGTCATGTCTTATCCACTTGGATAACCAAGATATAAGAATCATTAAAAGTAAAGCTTACCTTGACAACATTGCAAGGATCACTCTTCTTATCATAGAAATGGATACGAAAGTAAGCATCTCTAATGATCGGGGAATCTCCATAATTCGGTTGTCCCATTGAACTAAGTCCTTGGGATCTCCAGTCTTTTAGGTTGGGTTGCCATTATGGCGATTCTTAGTTAATAGGCTTTAATCCAATTTCCCTCAATAAACTAAACACTTACTCTCTAGCTATCCCTTTTGCTAACAGATTCGCAATATTATCTCTAGACCTTATATAGTCAATGGTAATTATACCATTTGAGAGCAACTGCCTAATGGTATTATGTCATCGACAAATATGTCCAAACTTACTGTTATACATATGATTCTGTGCCCGTTCTATTAATGCTTCATTATCACAGTATATGTATATAGCTGGCATGGATTTTGGCCACATCGGAATATTTTCTAGGAAATTTCAAAGCCACTCTATTTCTCCTCCTATTTTAATCAAATCGATAAACTCTGACCCCATTGTGGACCTCGCGATATAAGTCTTCTTGGAGGATTTCCAAGAGATTATTATGTCTTCTAGGGTAAATAATTATCCACTTGTGGATTTTGAGTCATTAGTATCCGATATCTAATTTGCATCATTGTACCTTTCAAGTAGTGTTAGATATCTCGTATAATATAATCCATAATTTTGGGTATGTCTTAGATATCTAAATACCCTAATTATAGTTGTCCGATGATCCTTCTCTAGATTACTTGTGTACCTACTCAACTTGCTGACTACATAGGCTATGTCAGGCCGTGTGTAATTCATTAAGTACATCAATCTTCTAATGATTTAAGAGTACTCCAATTGTGATATGTCTTCACATGTGTTCTTTAATAAATGAACATTAGTATCTATAGGTGTTTTAGCAGGATGGTTATCATGCTTCGCAAATTTCTCAGAATTTTCTCAATATAGTGAGACTGAGATAAGGCATATCCATAAGATGTTTTAGAAATTTTCATTTCAAGTATGACATCTGCTACTCCCATATCTTTCATGTCAAACCTTTTGTTCAACACCTTCTTGGTAGACTTTATCATTTCAATATTGCTACCAACGATAAGCATATCATCTATATAGAGACAAATGATAACATAATCTCTATCTGTATTTTTGATATAGACATATTTGTCACACTCGTTTATCCTAAACCCATCCGAAATCATAGCATGATCAAATTTCTCATGCTATTGTTTCAGTGCTTGCTTTAATCCATATAAGGATTTGACAAGTCTGCAAACCTTCTTCTCTTGGCCAGGAACTTTGAATCCTTCGGGCTATTCCATGTAGATTTATTTATCTAAATATCCATTTAAGAAGGCAATCATAACATCTATTTGATGTATTTCAAGATTATACAAAGCGGGAATAACAATCAACATGCGAATGGATGTTATTCTTGTTACAGAAGAATAAGTGTCAAAGTAGTCAAGTCCTTCTTTTTGTCTATACCTCTTAATTACTAGGCGAGGCTTATGTTTATCAATTGAACCATCTTCTTTTATCTTCCTCTTGAAAATCCACTAATATCCAAGTGGTTTACACCCTAGAGGAAGATCAACCAACTCCTAAGTATGGTTTTATAGAATGGATTTAACTTCGTCATTTATAGCTTTTTCTAAAAAAGTGCTTCAAGACCTGACATTGCTTTCTTAAAACTTTGAGGCTCATTTCTAACAGAAAAAATTAGAAAATCTGAACCAAAAGATTTAGATGCCCTTAGTCTCTTTCCACGTCTAGGTTTATCTTCTTGTTGGTCTTTGTCACCTCCAATGGCGTTATTAAAAGTTTGTTTATTAGAACTTGACTCTTCTAATTTAGACAACTCGACTTGTTCAACCATTGTCTTTATATCTACAAGAATTTGATTCTCTTCATTCTTTTTCCAAGGAAAGATATGTTA